GGGTTTAGGATTTAGGATTTAGGGTTAAGGGTTTGGGGTTTAGGGTTGAGGGTTTAGGATTTAGGGTTTAGGTTTAGGATTAGGATTTAGGGTTTAGGGTTTAGGGTTTAGGGTTGTGAGAGCCTTGTCGTTGGCATGGTCTTGGCCCATCATGCAGGGTTGACATAAGCCCCCTCAACAGAAGCCTCCCTCGAATTCAAACCCCCAATTAGAGACAATGGGTTCCCTTGGAGGACAAGGTGCTATTGGGGCTTTGAGGAGGCCCTTACCAATCAACTCCTATGATGATTATCTTTTGTAAGGAATCTCCGCGCTAGGGTGAATTTTGCGAGCCCGTGACTGGGAATGTTCGCTGATGCTTATTTGAGTTAGATAATTACCTATATCATTGTTCCATATTCCTTGTATAATTATAGGATATTATAGTATATGGTACCTCAAATGGACCTCAAATGATATTGGTACTTTTTGAGGCCCCTGTACTACGCACAAACCAAAACACTCAAAGGTCCATGAAGCTTGCGATGCAAATTGGGCCCCTTCGTAGCTTCGTGATGAGCTCAGATCCCTGGTGGCTACAAAACAAGAGAGCGACTCCCCTCCCGCCTAATATTAAAGGGTTTAGGGTTTAGGCCCCCCCACCCTCCCTAACTTCTTTAAATACTCCCAATAGATTGTAAAAAACAACAACATAATGGGAGTGTTCAATATCAGGGGGGTGGGGGGCCTAAACCCTAAACCCTAATAACAACCCCTATATGCCCTCCTAAGTTTGATATTAGGGGAGGGGATTACAACAACAGGACCACCCTTCCCTAAACCCCAAACCCTTCGGGGTTAAGCTTAGGCAGTTGGGATGCGTGTCCTCAGCATCTACACACCCTTTGTGAGCTATAGTCTGAACTTCTTAAAGGGGGTCTATGTAGGGGAGTATATCGGGGACTATGATGGAGGTTATTTGGTGGGATACTGGGAATTTAGACTATAGCTCATGTCACTCAATTCTCTTGCGGGGCAGATTGCCGCAGGCGTTCACATTGTCCGCAGCACTTGCAAGTGGTCACCGTGACTCCTCGACCAGTTCAGGACTAAGGGCATTTCACGATCAAAGAGCTCAGCAGTAAACTGTTACTTCGAATTTCTATCTCGTGCTATGGTCATCGGAGCTAGTTAGCCTAATCACCTATTCACTCTTTCCCTTCCTATTGCCTGTGCAGTAGCTGTTTTCTGCTCATCCGGCCGTAGAATGCCAGAACCAGTTGGGAGGGGGGAGCAAATCCAAAAATTTCTAAGCCTACGAGCACGTGGAAGTGCAAAACAGCCCGGGGATTGGAGCAACCAGGATTCAACATGACTGTGGCCTTAACCAAGAGGAGGGACAACGTTCACACATCATCCAACCTTCAAAGCCCGCAGCCACGCGGTTTAGGGTTTAGGGTTTAGGGTAATTCCACTCTTACGGCTTCTCCTGGTGTTGTGGCCTCAAGTTGCATGGCACCTGACATGAAACCAGCTCTTAATTCCACGCTTGGCCTTCAAGGCCGCCACATTATTTGCCTGAGGCAACACCTTGAAACTAGATGTGCATGTGCTGACGCCATAAACCCCAGCTTTTTCAAGCCCTAAACGACCGCTAAACCCTTAAAGCCCAGGTCGCTACATGCACTAAAGTCATACCACCGGGTCATAGTTTTGACGCATTCCCCGCTCAACCCTGAACACCAATTGAGTAGTATCTTTTAATAGGGATGCGTTCGTTCCGAACATGGTAGGGTTGTATCCTCTCTCTCAAGAGCACTTGACTCAACTACAAAAAAGAAGCTAAACTCTCTGACAGGCAGAGCTTAATTTTTAGGACCAGTGAAGCGTTGAACCAAGTGAGGTTAACTGTTCACTATATAATCCCTAACTTCTCTAACTCCTTTCTAGGGAAATATGTGGTGGTTCAACCACCCAACACACTTCTCTGAACCCCAAACCCTAAACCTCCCCCCAGAACCCTTAGATACTCCTATCATCCCCCTACCCCAAACCCTCAGACCTAATTGCTGACAGGAGCAGCTTGAGAAGGTGCAGAGTGCCTTTGGCGCGGTCCGGGGCAGCGCGCCCTGCCCATGGGACTGCAGTCTGGGAAGATTTGGGTGAGGGGTTTAGGGGAGCCCAGGTGATACATGGAAACCATAGGGCATCATGGGGATCCTTATCACTGATTCGGGTTTAGGGTTTAGGGTTTAGGGTTTAGGGATTCTATAGTATAGGGAAAATTTGAGACAGTCCGATTTGGGAGTTTCTTCAAGCTAGCGCTGGGTATATGTTGGGCTATAACGCCAAAAGGATATGGGTATATATATATAAATATGTGTATATTTGTATATATGTACATCATGATGCCTAGGGTGTGGGGTCTTGAGTTGCTAGGGGGCCTCAATAAAGACCGCAAACATACAGACAACTTCTTCTTAGAGGGACCCCCCAAAAAGGATTCCAAACTTTCGAGACCCCTTCCGTAAACCCAAGAACCTAAACCATGTGAGCTATTGTCAATACTGGGGATACCAAGGGACCATTAAGGGTGGACATAAGACTCTCTTTTGTAGTTTAGTATAGTCCCTAATATATTCCCTAATAAGGGCCCATGTCCATTAGCTGTATAAGGAGTATTGACAGTGGCTCATGTGGGACCAAACTACGGTTACCTCCCGAGATTCTGGGGATACTTGAGGACTATTGGGGGGCCCCCTTTGCCTACACAACCCTAGGCCCTAAGAAGCGTATAGGATGTGACTTTGCCATATTTTGGGGTGATAGAATGGTGGTGCGCCCTCCTGTCTTGTCTTTGGGACTTCCACGTTTGAAGATTTGGTGGTTTCCCAAAATAAGGGGACCCCAATATAGACCCCAAAATATTAAACCCCTTCTTATGGGGACCCCCCGAAAGCACCCCTAATTTTATGGGAAACCCTAAATTATATGTGTGTATATATATATGTATCTCTCTCTCTCTCTCTCCCTATCCTTGAAATCCCCTAGAATAATCCCCTATAGAATCCCTATATTTGGAAAATGTTAAAACCTTTATTATGGGAAATATTTAGAAGTAGGAGACCCCTAAACCCTAAACCCTTTACCTAGGAGGGAATTTGAGGGTTTAAGGTTGCTGATGCGCTGGAGGTTTCAACCGGACCTTCTCGGAGCCCCCTGCGTGGCCGAGGGAGAGACTGTCAAAGTTCGTCCTAGTGGAGCCCTCCGAGCCACCTGACGCTTTACATTATAGGGTTTAGGGTTTCGGGTTTGGGGTTTAGGGTTTGGGGTTCAGGTTCACCTGGACACCCAAAAGAAGGACCCTATAACCATCACATCATAGTCATAGGGTCCTAATTTTTGAGGGGTTGGGGCTACCAAAATCCTTTCATTAGTTTAGGGTTTGGAGGTTTAAATTTGCCTTAGGGTTCCCAAAGCCTACACCCTAAACATCCTGAACCCTAAACCCTGCAACCTAACGCCAAAACCTCACTTGAAACCTTAGCTGAATGAGCAGAGGGCTCTGCGGAGAGAGACTCTGAGAGTTTGGGGCTTCTGGCTGTTTAGGGTTTAGGCTTTAGGGGGTTTAGGGTTTAGGGCAAGGTTGCACGGGTCCCATTGTTTTGGGAGGTGGCGAGCAATAACTTGATTTTTCAGTTACCCCAACAGCCTTTAAACCCGAAACCCCAAATTGGAGTTTCCATGAGTGTTGGTCCCGTTTCTATACCCCAATACTGTATGTTGTAATCCTTTTTCTAGGGACTCCCCAAACACGGACCCTTGTTTTTAGGAAACCCTTCAACCCTGAGCCCTAAACTCTGATATGTAAACCCAAGCCCTAAATTAAACCTTAACCCTTGAAGATACCCTGAACCCTTAACCCCAAATAAACCCAAACGCTAAATAAACCCTCAGTTTACCCTATAACCCAAAGCATGCTAGGCCTCGCCCAGCGCTGTGGCTCCAATTTGCATTCCCAGATTTGGAGACCAAGTTTTTGAGCAAACCACTCAGCTACATCAGCTATGCCGCGATCTTAATGGGATGCGTGCCATGGGTGACACCAAGAATCCTGCATGATCTGGCTATACAAGAATACCATAGTTCGCAAGGTACAAGGTACTTGCGCTGATGCAGGATGAGCAGTGTCAGCCAGGGTAGAGTCTTTCGGCTTGTGTCGATGTTGTATAAACTTGTTGCCGCGAACCTGAACCCTACACCCTAAACTGTTGTCTGAGATCATCAAGTATACGGGCGTGTCTTCTCTCCAGAGCTATCTCAAGAAGGCTGCCTCGGGTGTAGGGTCGAGGGTTCATTTGAGCCATGGTCTAAACTCCTTAAAGGGGGTTATATAAGGGATCAAATTGTGGGGTACTATAGGGGCTATTAAGGGGGATACTAGGAGTTTAGACTATAGATCATTTAGGGTGGAAAAGAGTTGCGAACCTGCATTCATGTATCAGCTCAACCAGCATAACAACATTACGGAACAGCTCGCAATCATACTTCTACTGGCAATAGCATTCGTAACAGTAGGAATACCATTAGTAACCAGAACAGCGCTAACCACTTGTCGTTTTAACTGCTTTCTGAAACTCTTCTACCATGCAGGGAGGCCTGATCCAAGACCTCTTATCAAGCCTAACTTGAAGGTTTATAGTTTAGGGTTTAGGGTTTAGGACTTAGTAGTTACTTATAAGTGGGCGCCTAGCTGTACTACAATCCCCCGAACGGGACTTATGCAGGTCGTTCAAAGTATAAGTAGGGTTATAAGCCCAGTTACAAAGAAATGGCTCAGTCCCATGTGAACCTTCGCGTAAGCTTTGTGACTCTTTGTTGTGAATAAGAGAATATAGTCCCCATGTAATCCTTATAGAATATTTCCCATATTCCCTACTAAGAACCAGCAAGTAAACCCTGGCAGGAAGGCTTGATCCAAGACCTCTCATCGGCAGACTCCTCGACCAGTGCCGGGACGCGCTTCTTCGTGGCTATGTATCTGACCACCAAAGGCCCGACCCTGAGAGCCGAATACCATATGGGGGGGGTTCCAAAATATCTTTCTCTATGGAGATATGCAGATGCATAGAGAGCTGCTTCAGGTATAAAGATATATATATATATACATATATACATGTATTATTACACACGCATAGGGTGGGGGTTTATTTGAATTTGGGGTCCCTGTTAGGGGCCCCTTGCGGATCATGTGCCCGGGGGGGTATATCCAAGGTGGACCCCAAGTTTTTCTTGAAATGCCCACGCGACTATTGCGACAAGTGCTGTGCTGTTCATTATCATCATGCCTCTGACACTAGGGTGGAAGGTAATTTCTACAGCTTCAGCACTCTGACACGGTTGGGGTTCCTTTGGTTCCTGTTTTGCATATACAGGTAAATTGAACTTCAATTTCTGGTGGGAGATTAAAGAAGTCTTAACTCCTGGACCCTCAGGCGCAGGTAAGCTGGGTGCTTGCTGGATTCCTGAGCCAAGCGATATTAGTTTAGGGTTTAGGGTTTAGGGTAGGTTCAAAAATGGTTTAGGGTAGGTTCATACCAAGTCTAGCCCTTTCCGTTAATGCCGTCTTCTTTGAAGGCTTTGCTTAGCTTGACGCTCTGGTGCTGCCCGCTGCCTGATAGTAAATCCTTGCCAGTATGCCAGTACGGAGGCAACGGCTGACGTGGTACACATGGGAATATGGGAGTATTGATGTGGATGCACGGAATGGTTTCTAGCTTTAGAGCCCTAAACCGTGTGGCACCGGCACTCTACAAGTGAGGTGCCAACAGCATGGAGCACGTCATGGACATCTTCTTCCAGTACCTTGCAAGGATGAAGCATGCAGGCCAAAACCCTAAACCCTAAGCCAGCATATCGCAGTTTCCACCGATCAGGTTGCAGTGACAGAATCGGAGCCTTGAAATGTGTTCCGTTGATTTGTGATTCTCCCTACACGAGCTATACCTGAACCGTAAAAGTTCGTAAAATAATTGCCTTTATGGCTATTATTAGGGGTTTAGGGCTATCATTTTACATATTTTTGGGATCCAGGTAGTTACTATAGTCTAAACTCCTAGTATCCCCCTTTATAAACCCTATAGTAGTCCCCTATATAACCCCTTTTAAGGAGTTAAGATTATGGCCTCCATGAGGGCCAGCTGAAACAACGATCCCTTGCGTTAGCTTGGGATGCCGAAGCTCTAAACCGTAAACCAAACAAAGGCCCTTCAGGATTTAGGGTTTAGGGTTTAGGCCCCTGTTGCTTTAGGGTATATAAAGGGGTTATATATATATATATATATATCTGTATACATAGGGGGGAACGGAAAAGAAAATGGAAACGACCATATTGTAATAGGGTATATATCGGGGTAATTTAGGGGAGAATGGAAACGAACATGGAAACTATTATGTTATGTTATGAGAAGTAGCAATCAAAGAGGGCAAGTGGCAGGTGTGGATTCGCAGCTGTACAGCTCGCTGGCAGACTTGTCACGGTGCCTTGGGGATGTGGAACAATTGTGTTTCTGGCGTGTCCATGCCGCCCTCCAGTCTTCACACATCTCCGATGTTCTATTTCACAACTCAACCATATTTCTCAGGTGCATGAACATAAGGCCAAACCTTATAATTCCTATATGACCCCCCAAAAGGTACCCCTAACCATATGCAGGATGCAGCGTGTCATTCGAAATGGGCTTGAGGTTCCGGGATCGAAGTGAACAGCAGGCACTCCTGAAAGCACCTGCTTCTGCCTCCAACCCTAAACTTTACTACTGGGTAGGCCTTTTTGGTTTCTTAAATATTTTCCCTTATTGGTGTTATAGGGACCCATCTATACTAATATTTCAAAGGTCTCTAAAGGCCAACCAAGACTAGGAGGTTCATGGGTTTAGGGTTTAGGGGGGCCCAACTTTACTAGGAGGTTCCGGGTAGTCATAAAAAGGGTTATAAGTCCTCTGAGTTAGGTTAACCTAAACCCTAAACCCTACCGTTAACAATAGTTGTCCAATGATGTCTGACGTAGAGCTCAGGTGCCACCAAGTCCTAAACCCTAAGCCCCATTTTATTTCTACTCAGGGGGAGTATACCCATACCCTAAACCTTAAACCCTATATTATATCTACTTAATGGGGCGGAGTATACCCTATACCCTAAACAAACCATAGGCCCTATATTCTATCTACTCAAGGAAGGCTGTAAATCCCAAAGGCTCCAGTTCAACTGGACTCAGCCCGATGCACCGGGAGATGCAGCCAAAGACTACGCTGAACGGATGCCGGGTTGCTGTTAAGGACTTCTAAACGTGAAAGAAGGTTTATGGTTTAGGGGTCTAGGGTTCAGGGTTTAGGGTTTAGGGCTCCGTATCTGGGAGTACCAATGACAAGGATCATAGTAATTGGGGGTCTATATTGGGCTACCTATATTCATGGAACTGGCAAACTACGTTAGCATTACGAGAAATATGATTTTTTATTGCTCTGTCCATCAGTGTTGTAACTTAAGCCCCGAACCCGTATACAGCCCCTAGCTCTTCTAGGGAACCCATATTATGATAACTTAGCTTGAGGTCCCTAACAGCAACCCACCCTCAACCCGAAACCCTAAACCCTATACCCTTCAACCCTAAAACCCCGTACCCTAAAACCCTATACCCTTAAACCCCAAAACCCTACAACCCTAAAACCCTATACCCTAAAACCCTATACCCTTAAACCCTATACCCTTAAACCCCAAAACCCTACACCCTAAAGCCCTAAATCCCTAAAACCCGAATCCCTAAACCCTTAAACCACAAAACCCTAAACCCTGAAACCTTAAAACCCTATATCCTTAAACCCCCTACACCTTAAAGCCCTAAATCCCTAAAACCCGAATCCCTAAACCCCCACAGCAACTGAGGATGCTACGGCTGCCTCCCCGCATGCTGATTGCAGGAGACACCAGGATAGATAACACCGATCCGGAGCTGCTTGGTAGTTGGTTTAGGGGTTAGGGTTTAGGGTTTAGGGTTTGAATCACATGGAGGGGGTTCCCAAAGGTAGGGTCCCTTAAATATTAGGTGCCGTAAATATAATCTATAGCCAAAAAGAGGCCCATAATTTGGAGAACAACCCGGATAAGTAGTCAGGATAGGTTTAGGGTGTAGGTTTGAAGGTAGAGAGACCTGGGTTGAAAAGGGTTTAGAGGAGGATGTGTGAGGCTTGGGATTCAAGACTTAGTCTTGAAGTGTCTTAGCTTTTGCGAAGGGCTTGGAATTTGGGGTGTAGGTGGGGGCTTTGGGACCTTAGGATTTAGACTTGCGTTGGGGGGCAGATTGCACTAGATGTAAAACAGGCGTGGTGCGAGAATGGCTTGAACAAATGAGGCTCGTGCGTCGCCTTATCGACATGCTGACGCCGCAGAACCTAATTTTAGCTTATGTTCCGTCATCGAAGACCAACGCCACGTTTGAAGAAGGCTCTCAGGTGTTTGAGGACAAGAACATGAAGCTGAAATATGCTCCCTGGCTGTGCTGGCTGTGCCAAGTTGGTCACAGTGGTTCTAGATGAGGCTAAAAATCCCCTAGTTGAACCGCACTTGTCTATTTCCTCTTTACAAAGTCCTTGAGATTGTAAGTTTCAGCTTGTTCGGTGATTGCGCCTTATGCCAGACTTCTCCTTGGCACTTAGCTTGGACCTTAGACCCTTGACTTGTGGGATTCCCCCCTATTCCCAGTAACCAGCCAAATTGTTTACTTAAATAGGGGTGCTAGGTGCTATGCTCTCCCAGCCCGGCTACAGGATCCAAAGCATGGACTCCCCTCCAGGATCAAGTAAATGACCTTATCATAGGGTTGAGGTACACTGGGCTAACTACCCTTAACCCTAAACCCTAAAGCTTTAACCCTACCTTAAATCCTAAACCCTAAACCTTAAACCCTCAACCCTAAACCCCACTGGGCTAATTATGGGTTGCTTGGGAGTTCAGTCCTACTCCAGCCCCAAACCCTGTCCATGCTGACATGCTACTTCTCTTGGATCCTTCAAAGCTTTAACCTAAACCCTGCGCATCATAACGTGTTGCTTTTTGGATCCTAATCTGCTAAACCCCAAGCCCTACACCCCTAAACCCCATTATCACTATATAACCCTAAACCCTAAACCCCTAAAAGGGGTTTGGGTTGAGAAGCTGAGGCAGTGTCGGAGCTGCAGCAGCGACTGGGTCGCTGTTAAGAAGATCAGATTACCCCCTCTAGGGTTTGGGTTTTAGGATTTAGGGTTTAGGGGTTTAGGGTTTGGGTTTTAGGGTTTAGGGTTAAGGGTTAAGGGTTTAGGGTTAAGGGTTTAGGGTCGCAGGCTTTAGGGGTTTAGTTTTTTGTTTTTGAATTTTTAGTTGCCAGAATGGAGAATGAGACGAAGCACAGATGAAAAAAACAAGGGGCACTAGGGTGCGCATAGGTAAACATAGGTAGTTATAAAGACTTGCAATTCTATTGCCAACATAAGGAAACCACGTAACTTAACCATAAAACCTTTATTGACCCTCGAACGGTTTTTTCCGCGATGTAGTAGTTGGGTCAGTCTCGAGGGGATTCCATGTTTTGGATGCGTCAGGGAGTCTGGGTAACCCCTGAGCCCGAAATATCCTACACCTCGAACCAAGCCGTAAATCCTAAACCCTCAAACCCCAGAAAAAAAGGCTCAAACCCTAAAACCCTGTACCCATGGGGAAAATCCTATAAACCCTAGAACCGAAATCCTATCCGTGAACCCCTACCCTAAACCTTAAACCCTAAACCCCTAAACCCTAAACCCTTTTCTAGCCCAGGCGAATGCCTGCGGCTGTGGAGCGGTGGTCCAAGTGGCTGGCTACGGGGCCGCCTTCCGAGGGCCCTCGGCTACCGGGGCCGATCCAGCATATCCCGAAGGAGGGGATTATGTTAGGGTTTAGGGCTTAGGGTTTAGGGTACAAGGTATGTAAAACTGTAAACCACGTATACTTGAACCCCGGTAGTATGTAGAATAATGGCCTTCGTGGCTACGTTGAGGGGTTTTTAAGCAGTTGTTTTACCTACTTGTGGGGTATCCTCGCCCTTGAGTAGATAGAATATTGTTTATATGGGGCTCTTATTATAATGTACCCAAAGCCATATTCTATCTACTTAAGGGGGACTGTAAACCCTAAACCCTCAACCCTAAACCCTACGGCGGACTGTAAGGGTATAGGGAGGTTTAGAGCTTAATGCTACTGTTTTTCGTCTTAGTGTTATTCTTGTGGGAGCGGGCGGCAGGTTAAAGGGTTTAGGGGGCTTGGAGCTTCATAATACTGTTATTATTATCATTGTTTATTTTCTTCCTATGGTTATTCATGTGTATTACCATTCTTCTCACTATTGGTGTTGATATTATTATACAGTGGTTTGGGTGACGTTAGCGCGACAATGGAGAATTAAACGGGAAGTACAGTGGAACATGACATGGAAACCGTGGGCTTATATAGGGTTTACAGGGATAGGAACCAATATTATATTCCTAGATTCCAGCTAGGATTGTGTACCCCCAAGGGGATTATAAGTAGGGTTATAAGCCCAGTTACAAGTAGTTACTGAGCCCCATGAACCTCAAAGAAAGTCAGCAACTGCAGAGGCGCTAGACACAACCAACATGGCCGCGAGGGCTCCGGTGCGCGCCGCAGGAGTCTCACCGGAGGCAGCTTTCGCTGCTGTGCACGTGCCAGTTTCCAACAGCGGCGGGGCACCGCTGATATATCCCAACATACCCTAAACCCTCAGGAATGGTACTCTCACAAAAAGGGCTCCGAATTCTTGCAAACACCGAAAGGCACTCCTGCATAGTTACAGCAAACTTCTGGACGCTTTGTGGGTTGCATGAAGAATCTCCACGATAGGGGCGGCATCGCGTTCACCATTTTAGGATCTGGGTAGGCCTTTGGGTTCCTTAAATTTTTCCCTTATTGGTGTTAGAGGGACCCATCTATACTTATGCTTTTCAAAGGTCTCTAAAGGCCAACCAAGGGGTTCAGGGTTTAGGGCATTTGCTTTGTTTCTGTTAGTGTTTCTATCGCCACAGACCTCGATGTAGCAGTCATCGCCTGTATCAGGCAGTAGTTTCCCCACAGGGGGGGACCCCAATATAGGCCCTTAAATACAGCAATCCTTGTTATGGGGATCCCCGAAAATGTGCCCCTAACTTTGGGCCCCTAATTTTTGGAAACCCCCATGTTGCTTAACATGTCCACGGTTCATGGAGAAGTGGGAAGGTTTGTGCTTTTGCTGCGGCTGTTTAGAGTTTAGGGTTTAGAGTTTAGGGTTTAGGGTTTAGAGTTTAGGGTTTAGGGTTTAGAGTTTAGGGTTTAGAGTTTAGGGTTTAGGGCTTTTGGAGTCCCAGGTAGGGGAAACCCTCAGGTACACTCAGGCAATATATCCGATAGTCCCTTATGATGACTATCATGGACCCTAAAAACCTTGAACCCATGGAGAACGGTACCGTCTCCGAACCCTAAACCCTGAGCCTACCTGGCCCCGAAGCCCAAATGAGCTATAGTCTAAACTCCTCAAAGGGTGTTATATAGTTTTTTTTTCTTTTTATTTATTTTTATGGGGATGGTTATGAGGGTTATTCAGGGGGATACTAGGAGTTTAGACTTTAGCTCAAATATCACCCTGGCCATGACATGGTACATTTTCTGCTTGATGCTCCACTAATCTCGTCCTTCTAAGGTCAAACCCCAAGCCCTAATCCCTATAGAACCCGTATATTTTGGGAAACCCCCTTGTCCGACAGGCAGTTGCCAGCGCAGTGTATGGTGACTCGCCGACTCTGTTGGGCGAAGTTTCGGCAGAGCAGCTACGAGTCCAATCCCAGAAGGCGCATTTGGGGTTTAGGGTTGTTAGGGTTGTTAGGGTTTAGGGTTTAGGGTTTAGGCTGTGGGATTTAGGGGTCCCATAAGAGGGATTGCAGGATGAATTATTTAGGAGTTCCATAGGCGGCGGGTTGGGAGTTAAGATCGTCCTGCAGGTGACCACATCTTAAGTACTTCTTCTCATCATTTTGCAACACGCGCCCGCCCCTTCGTGCAGAAGCGCAGCATCAACTTGCTACAGCTGGAGCCCTCAACCCTAAACCCTCTAAAGGTTCCTTTGGAACAATGGAACCTCCAGCTCATTCCATAGTCTGCCCAGGCGTAGCAATGGTGATGTTTTTTGGGAAGTTCCCATATGAGCTACAGTCGAAACTCCTTAAAATTGGTTATATAGGGGATTATGTAGGGGACTATTATAGGGGTTATTAAGGGGGATACTGAAGTTTAGACTGTAACTCATTTTGGGAATCCTTGGATGTGTCTCATGGGTTCCCCTATTACCCCCGCCCAGAACCACCCCTAGGTTCATCCTCAAGTAGCCCTTATCTGGACCCTGGATGTCCTAGCTTTTTGGGGGTATACCCTACAAGTTTATGGGACATTACCCCCAAAAAGGAAGGACATCCAGGGTCCAGGTATTCTCACCAAATGATTTTAATTCAGGCAGAACCAAAAGGGGTTAGTTTGGGGGGGTTCGTAGTAGGGGAACCCAAAACCCTGAATCCCTGCCGGAGGTAGTCGGGGAACCCTTGAGGGCAAATGCAATGACGGCCAGGGCTCCCCAACCCCTAAGCCCTTCTTCTGCTTTTGTACCTCTACACACCCCAGAAACCCTAAACCCTAATGTGCAACGGAAGGGGTTCTCCGGAAGATCCATGCGAGCTTCATATTTCACAATGTGAAAGTACAGAAAGTACTGCGTTTTACAGTGTATTCAGCTTGCGCGGTATTGCACGTTCGAGGAACGGAGGGTCATGACTCCGCGGAATTTTCTTGTATAATTCCGCGCGCAACCTTGATGGAAGATGAGAATGTTGCACGTTTTAGGAGTGAAAAGTGCAAAAAAACGAATGGTTCTGGCACAATGCCAATGAGAAGCGTTCCGTCGTACCCTCAGAAAGTGCCAAGGTGCGTGGCCAGATTTAGACCCTGTTCAAAACTACGTACTGCGTTTTACAGGTCGAAAAGCGTGTAGCAAACGAAGCACAAGGCTAATAGTCAGGCTTTTTCTGAGTTCGCGCGATCAGAAGCTGTACATGACATGCACCTTGTCCCATTACGCGCGGTGTTTTTGCATCAGGGTTCCTGAGAAGGACATAGACTTCGTCCCACTGGGCGCAATGTTTCTGGTACTTCGATGCACGTGTAACACAAACGATTTTATGGCTTGGTCTTGGATGGTGTAGTAGCGGTGTGCTCTCGAACACGAACGTTGTTATAGTTTGGACATGGATGTTCTGGTAATGGGATGCTCTCGAACATGAACGTCATCATGGTTTGGGCAGGGATGCTTTGGTAATCGGATGCTGTCGAACATGCGGTGTTTTTGCATGAGGGTTCCCGAAATACTACGTTTTACAGGTTAGGCCTAAATCCCCTCAAACCCTTTGTATGCCCTTACATACCCCCTACATCCCCCTTCTCAAGGATTTATAATTCTTGGATCATCTTGGATCCTTTAAGGGGCCTGGGTGCCACCGGCAGGTGTGGTACCGAAGCGGCTGGAGGACAACATCGCCAAAGGTCGCCCCGCAGGGTCTTCAGGGGCATTATATATATATAATTATATATATATATATGAGCGGCAGTCAAAATTACCAACCACTAGGCCATGTCTCAGGCGGACATGATTTCGTGATCGACGCTGAAAAACCTGTAAAACGATAGGGGAGACAAATCAAAACGATTACCATGCTGCGACGAGCCGTGCTGCTTAAGAGGTGTCCAGTAGTAACGCGAAAATGCTGAAAAACGATAGGGGAGACAACAAAAATCCATAACCAGAAGCCCATGTCCAGTAGCCAGGTAAGGAATTCCGACCGTAGCTCATATGGGCGGTCTTTCCATTAATTGGCGTCAAGAATTCATGAAAAGGCGCATGTTTGACCCCTCCGATACATACCTCGATACATAGCCCGATACATACCCCCACAACGTCCCCCTGTCAAGAGTCCCGCATTACGAAACATACCCCGAAACATACCTCGAGACGTACCCCGAAACATACCCCAATCCAAACATGTTTTTGTTTGTGCAGTTAGCCGGAAACACTTTCCCAAAATAGGGGATCGCAACAGAGGCCTCCGAGCACTATAATCCTTATTGTTGGGAGCCCCAATAACGTACCCCTAATTTGGGGAAACCCCCATACATAAACAGAGATATATACATTTTTGTATGTATTGATACACATAGGGATATGCCACTCAAGATTCTACAAGGCAGATCTAGGGGATTGTATAGGCATTAAGTAGCCTAGCCATATAGGGCCTGTAAACTCCCAAGTCAAATGAACAAGTGCAACAGACGATAAATTGGAAATTGGGTTCATACAGGGCTAATAAGGATTAGGGTTCAGGATATACTTGGAGGGCCAGGGGGAGTTAGGATCCTTTTAAACGGTTTATATAGGGATTTGTAGGGATATATGTGGAATGCAAAACACAGTGAACAATGCCACCTCATGTGGGGTTTTAGGGTCAAGGGGACTTAGTAAGTAGTGATGGATAATTGGATTGTTATGTGAGTTATAGGGGCTATACGTATACTTACGAAGACCCTCTGAGCCTCCAAGAAGGATTCAGGGTTTAGGCAACATTCCCACCCGAGCCCATGTCTAAGACTGGTCCACAGAGCAAGGCATGAGTATTTTGTCACGAAGTAGCTTCCTTCTAAACAATAAACCTTAGCATCCTAATCCTTAAAACCCTAAACCCTAAACCCTTAAATCCTAAGCCCTGAAAGCCCTAAAACCTTGAACCATGTTTGGAAGGTCTCTATCGACCTGGCCCTTCGACGGTACAAGTCGACGAAGGAAATCGAGTCGTCGGTACATTGCCTTAATTTTGGGGGCCTAAGGGCTACCTATGCGCGGGGTATATAGGTACCATATAAGGGTTATACAGTACTACAGGTAATGGGTTTGAGGGTCACTTCTAAAGTTCCTCTAATAGCCTTTGCCTTCGGCAACCAGCACAGTGAGGCTTCCCAGGACAGTTGCTTAATGTTGTGAGGAGAAGGCAAGACTGCCCAGAAGCCCCCACCCTCCACTCAAACAGAATATCCCCATGATGGTATTCTTTAACATATTCGGAATACTTGATATGAGGGATTTGTTTTGCTATGTTACCAAGGGAGGGGTTTTAGATTTTATGTTCATGGTGCAGCTGAGAGAGGTCGCTTTATTTCTGGCATATGCTTTCCGTAGAAGTTAGAAGCTACCAGAAGAGATATGACAGCTTACACGAATACGGGGACCCCAATATGGACTCTGAAAAATTGTAAGCCTTATTATGGGGACCCTCATTTTTTGGAAGCCCCCATATGACGGTCTTGGTAGTTGTAAGAGGAATCCATGGATGAGCTGTTCTAAACCTTTCAGCGCTACTGGATCTTGCTGCTGCAAGTTACTTTTACTTGGAGAGTCGATAATGCGTTTCCCTAAACCCCCTAAACCCTAAACCCCAAACGGGGGGTGGGGAGCCCAGCCCTGAAAAATCCCTTGGCCGGGTTATATGGTTTAGGGTTTAGGGTTTAGGGTTAGGGCCTTGTAGAGGGGTATTACCAGAAGGTTAGACTATAGCTCACATGTGCTTATCTTGGTTCCTTGGCATCAACCCCATCCATTGGCGGCTCTACGGAAAAGTACTGGGTTCTTTTGGCCCAGAATAGGACTCAGGGGCTTAAGGTTCATCTAGGGGTAAAGTCTTCTGAGACCCATGGATTCTACTCCTGATGGAAGCACGTGACAGATCGTGGCACCTAGCTGCTCTGTTGGCTTTGCATCTTGTTCCCACGTGGGGGCCCCATTGTTTGAACACATCTTGGTTAAGCTGACGCCAGCCTTCGGATGTCTATGTGCGCATTTTCAGGCTGAAGAGCAGTTGCGCTTGCTGATCTTCGAGAGGCAGGGTTCTACCACTTTTGTGAATGGTCCCCGTCTAATATGGTAATCTCGATTTGTTGTCCCTTCCTTCATTCCCTACTAGCAGCCAGCAAATCAGCCTTGTTTGTGCACCCCCCCATGTTCAGGTGTATGTGTACATCTGCTTGTTTGCAGATGGCTCGTGATGAATCTGATTATGGGTTACCTGCCTAACTAACCGCTCATCTCTAATTAGGCTTACTACGCGATCAGTCAGGCTAATTAAGGGGCAATCTTGGGGCACAGGCTTTTCATCCGCCAAATCACTCCGATGCTGGCTGATGTGACAGCCACCGGGCAGACTGTCACGACTCCTGGCAGGGGATTTTCATCAAAAGCATGAATGCTGGGAGGTTAGGGTTTGGAGCGCGTATAGGACCTACAGACGGATAAGTATAGGGATATAGAGGCAGAAGTATTGCTAAGTGCTCCTATTTATATGGCTTATAGGGATCTTCATGGCAGAAGTACACTTTACACTTATTGGGTTCCCTTAATCTATAATGAGGCAGAAGTACTGACTGTTTGGGACTAGGGGGCTAAGCAGCTGGGATATGGATTTTGGTTGGGTTGCTGTAGAGGAACCCAAATGAAGTTGCCTTAATATGGGTACATAGTAAAGAATAGGCTCTCCTTCTTGCGCGAACTTAATTTAAGTTCCTTAACAGCAACGCAGCTTGTGTAGAGTCAGCAGTGAAGCATATGCTGCGCCGAACCAGCATCAGATTTATGTCGTTTGCCTGGCACTTGCAGCACAGTGATGTTGGCACTTGACTCGATGATAGGCCCCAAGAACACATGGTCTTCAAGCATTCGCCACCCCTCCTTCCGGAAAACAGAACCATCATCAAAGTCTTTTCGTGCCTTGTGACGGAGTCGTTGGTTGCAACCAGTATCCTTGTTGTAATCCTTCCAACGATTTTTGGCCAAGACCCATAGAGTCTTTCGCCAGGACAGTAGTCGACCAAGGGCTCCTTTTCAGTTGACATGGGGGAAGGTATGCTCCGTACCGCAAGTTCCCTGAAAGCAGTTTCGAACTTCTGTTAGGCATACCCGTGAAAACTAGCTGGAATTATAATTCCTACCCGTCCAGGCAGGGTAAAGTGATCCCTAAAACTAAACCTCAATCCCTAAACTTTAATCCCCCAACCCTCATTTCTAAACCCTAACCCTAAACCCGAATCCCCAACCGCTATGCGAGTCTGAAATGCGCTTCAGGATGTCATTGGATGAGGATGGCATGCAGCTGTCATTCGAAGCCTTTGCGCCCGTCCTCCCTGGTCTGATCGGGAAGTGGCTCTGACAAGTTCTTAATATTGGTATCCCCCACCAGGGTTCTTGAGAATATGCCCTTATTGTGGTTCTAGGCTTTCATAATTTTCTTTCTAGCTCTAGTCTGTGGAGGGCACATTTTTTTTGGATGTTTTCTCTTTTTTGTTTTTTGGAATTCTGTTCCTGTGACCTGGCAGGCTGTGAG